TTCTTCAGCCTTCAATGAATGTTACATATACTGGAACGACGAGGACAAGAGCAACAATTAGAACTCGTACGGCGGGGCTTGGCCTGTGAGAAAGTCACTCTATCACCTTTCACCATTTACCTGTATCTTAATTTTCGCTCTCGACTTTTCATTTATGTAATCTTTTGTTTTATCCACTCTTTTGTCTTGAGTTGTCTTTCATATTTATTTGACCTTTCGCCTTTCCTGACCTTTCGGCACCTTCAGCTGAAATTTGCACTTGATCTGACCTTTAAACTTTATCTGACCTTTCTCCACCTTTTCCCTCAGCCTTCACCGAAGGTTGGATTTACTGGGATGATGAGGACAAGGACAACAAGAACTCGAATAGTGGGACCTTGCCGTCTGGACAGTTCGGTGCTAACACCCGATATGACTTCTGTTGCCGTAGCGATGGTGTGACTGACCGGGGCATCTTCCTACCCACCGATGATAACTTCTACCTCTTCTCACAGTTCGAGAATTGCCAGCAGGTGTGTATTAAACATATTCACAAAGATATCTCACAAAAAATGTATCACTTTAAATGCTATAGAAAGCCCCCCTAATAAAAAACAAAAGAAACATCACAAACCCAACAAACTGTTTTCATTGTAGTAACATGTGAATAATATCGCAACGCCTTGTATTTTGTTATTATAATACTTTTGTTGTTTTCCCTCCTTTTCTCCTTCTTCTGATCATTAAGATAATTATTATAATTATTATTATCATTATCATCATCATCATCATCATCATCATCATCATCATCAACAAATCTTATATCCTTTTTATTATCAGTATGATCATTGTTAATATTACTACATGTTAAGTACTTCTTCATTTCCATCTTACGTTACACAATTTGTATCTCGTATAGGTGGACGGGATGACTGTTTCAAAGGAATGGTTTTATTGGGACACTGAAGACAAGAGTAACGACGACGATATGTCTTCAGTACACCCTTACCAAGGCGTTTACTCTAACGGTAAAAACGTCAACCTCAACTTCTGCTACTACCAAAAAGAGTGAGGTTATTTAGCACATATTTTGATTTAACGTCTTCAACGGATAACGACCACTAACAGTGACATAGGTCAAACCATAGCTGGTAGAGTAGAGTTATATATTTATCGTACGGGAAGGTGCTATCGTTCGTAGGTTAAACAAGAAGCTTGTGTTTTGAGAAACGTGAACAAAATTGTGACTTTTTAAAATTCTTTGTTATGCTATTATGAAAGGGTGACATAGAATAAGTGTATCCTGTAGAAGATGTCTCTTCAAATTTACATCCTCATTTTCAACATAATGACAAGTAATACAGCTGAGGTTCTGGATCACACACATTTTGTGTGGTCCCATACACATTTTTGTGACTTTTAGGAAGACTAAACTGATTCATTATCATTATGATGACTATTCCGGGCTACATTAATGATTAACCTAGCTCAGTAGGCCGACGCTACATGGGTCAAACCATCGGCAGGCCTGTGTCATCAAGGGGGGAGGGGGGTGGGGTGGGGGTGGTGGCTGGTGAATTAAATACCGAATTCACATGCAACATAATTATTAGGGGAGGTTGTAGAAGAGGTCCTATTTTACTAAATAATAATAAATAAATAAATATTTCAACTCATATTTCCTACGATACACTTTTATATTTCCCCTATGGAAATAGCCTAAATAGAATGAGAACGAGCTGACTAAATTCTTCACATTTCGCAGAACTCTGCTTTCCCTTTAAGTTTAAGAAAGGATTGTCGGAATGAGCTGGGACTCACGGTGTAGTAGTTCATAAAACGGTGATAAAATTAACTTTAAGGAAAATAACAGTAAAAATATGATTTATTTTTAATGAAACGGTGTGGTTTAATGTATTTAAATTATGTAAGAATAATACTTCTAAGTAGGCTATATGTTAGGGCTGTAGATTTTTTTTATTGTTCCATTAATCGGCTTAATTTGAGCAATCAACAGAGATCAACTCTTTTATGCACGAATATTGGATCATGAATGTTACGTAAACTTATTTCTAAAGCAATGTGTAGTGGCCCAGGTATTTAGAACAGAAGACTGAAAGGTCACTGTATTGTTTTCATTGGTCTTACTGTTTTTCTTCGCTAAAAATTAATCCGTTTCAGGACATTTAGAAGTGAAGTACTGTGGTTATGGGTATTTCTTGCAGAGGAAAATAAGTAAAAGTAGAATAAATGCATAGTGTGACGGGAACTTAATCGGATTTCATTGAGTTTCTTGTTACGGTGTTATATGATTGTCGTTATATAGCAGAAGAATGTGTTAGTGAAGAGAGGGAAAGATAGATGCAGATAGAGAGAGAGAGAGAGAGAACGGGATGAGAAAGGGAGGGGGTTTATTGAGAGTGAGGGGAAAAAGATGGAGGGGAGTTATGGAGAAAGAGAGAGAGAGAGAGAGAGAGTGAGAGAGAGAGAGAGAGAGTGTGTGTGTGTGTGTGTGCCTGAGATAAAATGAAGGGAGAAGAGAAGTAGAAATATAGAGATTTTAAAAGAAAGAGAGAGAGAGAGAGAGAGAGAGGGAGGTATTCAATATCTAAAAAAAAAATAATGCAAAAGAAATGGAAATGTAGATAGAGAGAGAGAGAGAGAGTGAATATGAGCATAGAGAGCGGGGGGAGGGGGGAGAGGGAGAGGGAGGGAGAGAGAGAGAGAGAGAGAGAGAGAGCGAGATGGAGAGCGTGAGTCCGGTATGAAAGGGAATGAGGTGAAAAGTAAAGAGAGATATTTAAAGAGAGAAAGAGAGATTAAAAATAAAATGAGAATGAGGTGTGGAAATATCGATAGAAGAGGTGGATCTAGACTAACTAAAGAGAAATAGAGATAGTGAGAGAGGAAGAGAAGGGGAGAAAGAGAGGAAAAGAGATAGAGAGAAAAGGGAGAGAGATTGAGATGAAGGGGAAGGAGAAAATAAGTAGTTATAGGTTGGTGAAGGAGTGTTGCTGAATAGTTAGAAAAGGTAGATGCAATAGCAAAAGGAAGAATGAATACTATAAATGAGATATTTGAGCTAAATGAAGAAGTTTAGAATAACTGATCGCGGAGAGGTGGAAACGAATGGAAAGGAAGAATGTGAAAAACTATTCTGCTTCTCCTAAGACCCTCCTGGATCGTACATTATTAACAAAACTAACACTTCAATCGTTTTGTACATACGTGTGTTGAAATATTCGGAAACCAGTCTGCATAACTTTAAACAGAAATCTTAACTTTCTTATTTTTTGGTCACAGTCATTTCATTCAAACTTTCAACAGTCTGCTTCTTTGATTGTCTTGTTTTCTTTTGGAGTAGCTGGCTGTTAAATTTGGTTTTCCCTTTAATACAATGTATTCATTATTTACAAAAAGTGATTTCTTATTAAGGCCTCCGTTAATGGGCTTTCCTATACCCACTTTTCAGAGGGGTCACTGGCCATTTCCGACGGACAATGGGACTAACATTTTATACAGTTATGTACCCTTAATTAAGCTTTCATTTTGTCAGTCGTGTACCGTCGATAATATTATTTGATTTGGCGGTCTCATGGGCTTGTCTACACTGGAATGACACCTGGGTCCTCGTGAGTTCGATGTCCCTTTTCAGCCCCACCCCCCCACCGCACCCTCTAAAGTCTTAAATCACAACCAACAATTTACTATATACACTGTCGCTCTGTTATAGTTGGAATATTTTTGTTTTACCCCATTTTATGGAATTATTTTGATTTGTTTTAAAAATTCCGAATAGATCTAGATGGTAGTATACATTCTCAGATTTTATTGAATAATAATTTGCCAATGTGTGTTTTGCGTGACTGCTAACGCATGTGTATGCTACTATGCTTATCAACTAGGGGACCTACGCTCTTAAGTCATAAATGACAGTAATGAGGATTAATGCCCCATAAAATGGCACTAATACACATCGACACGGTTTTGATCCTGCGGCCTCACAGTTACGAGGCCATTGCTTTACCACTGAACCATGACTGTACGCAGTGGGGGCTAGGGTAGGGGGCAGTTCCCACAAATAAAAAAAAAAATAAAAAAAAATGCAATAAATTATCAATAATTCATTGTATTTCCCCCCGGTCCCCAACATAATTTTTTTTTTCTGTGTGCCCATGCCTTGAGCCATAATGCATGGCCGTATAGAGGATTTTTTGAATCTAGATCTATTAGGTATAAATCATTGTCAAAATTAGGGTAACAAAAAAATATTCCAACTATACGAGCGACAGTGTATATACATGTGACGGAATTTTGCAACATGCAAAAACGGATATGAAACCGATTCTCATAACTAGATTATTTTGTTTGTAAACATCCAGGATAGGGATTAATGAACAATGAAAGAAACCTCACTTTCAAATATAAAACCCCGCGGAATGTTAACATAGACGGCACTATTTTGTTCCCTCTTGAAACACCGAACATACCACGGTGCAGCTATAGTGGCGGATCTAGGGGGGGGGGGGGGACTCCCCTGGCAAAACAAATATTTGTTGTTGTTGTTGGAATATTGGGCCCCTCCCTTGCCGTCGGCTGGATCCGCGCTTGCCGCGGTATATGCAGCTGAAAATACAATGACGGTCTTATTTTGTTTACAAGCGACGGATTCCTTAATTTTTCCTCAAAATATACGTGGGGTTTAGAGTGAGGCAATGTAGAGAAGATGACAAAACAGGTACTGAAAATGTGTGAGATGTCATGGGACACCGTCTGCTTGCCTGTGCAAATCATGTTCAACATGTGACGTCACACAACGTTCAGAGAGCTTTTCAGGTGCTATGTGCCGGGGTTATATCTAAGCGTTTTGTAATTGATGTTAATCATTACTTCGAATATTTCCAAGCATTGGATTTTGATAACCTTGTCCAATCAAAGTTTCACCTCTGCAATTACGACAATAAAGTTAGTTTTTGAAATCAATGAACATTCTCTTTAACTTCCTCCAATATGCGTACATATGTGCGTGCTATCACGTACCTAGTACTTTGGTACTACGTAAATGTGGATACGTACATGTGCATGCGCAAGTACACACATAGAAGTACGGTACCGCACGTGTATGTTATCTTAGCTTAGCTTACACTTCGAGTCTGTCTACCTAAAATTCATGGCATCCAGGCCGCGTTATTTTTTTATGCGGCACAGATTGGGGCATGGCGCGTGTTAAACCTATGGGAAGTACGTTCTTTCCCTACTGAATAGTGTCTGCACTTACGTGAGACTAGTCATGTTAGCTAGCGCATTAGCGCTGCGAAGAAGTTTGTATATCCATCGCGAACTATGTGTTTAGATAACATTCCTCTTCGTTTAAGTTAGTAAGTTTTATTGACTAATTATTGTGATGTTCTCCTTATTGACGTGCTGCCTCCTCTTCAGTTTTCCAATTTGATTTTAATTGTTGATGTAATGATTTTCCATGCGGTAGTGGATTAAATGTAACACTATTAAAAACAGACCTCTACTACTTATACTGTCTAGTACGCACATGACCAGTATTAGTCTGTAAATCAAGACCCATTTAAAAAAAAAGCCCCAATCTGTGCCGCATAAAAAAATAACGCATCCAGGCCAGGCCTAATACTGGTCGGTATGTAATGGGACCAAGCTATGTCGTCTCCTAGCTCTGATGATGTAGCAGATGAGCTGCAAGTTATAGAATCTATTTTCTGCCAAAGCGGAGAATTCGTGCTCCATGATTTCAACGCATTGACCGGTAAGAAGCCCATGACATTTCCCTATACTGCTATAGACCTACTAGGTTGTCGCTGCTGGTACTCAGCCCGGGCGGCAGACGCGGTGAGCGACGGAAAACCGCTGGCTTCTACTATGTTGAGAAAATTTCACGTAGAATAGTCAATAGACTAATAGACTACATCTATTCGCTATCATAGAGACTACGGTAGTCTGGTCCAAATCGGCGTAAATATTCATAATTGAATGACACACGCCCTTAAAACTAAAACAACAACACCAGTTAAAACTATAGGGGTAGAACTGTTTATTGGTCACTATGAGTATGAGCTCACATAGACAGAAATTACCATCTGATTTGGGTCATTTCTTTAATAAAACTGACATTTGTTGTCATTCCCCAATTACTTTAGTGTGTTTTATTATTTTGGGTTTCTAACTTCACCCTAACCCTAACCCTAAACCTAAACCTAACCCTAACCCTAACCCTAACCCTAACCCTAACCCTATGATGGTAAGTTGGTAACCCAGAGATCTCGTACCGTGGGGGTAATTTAGAGCCACAGCCGAACATCTTTTCGTTCCTGACATTTCTCCCCCGATTTTCTTTATTTAGATCTAATTTTCTGATTTCTAAATCAGATGTAAATTAGGTCGGTATGTCATTTGTCCTAATTACAGTTATCAAAATTTGATAACTTAATATTAAATGTATAATTTACAGACTTACTTATATGAATTATCCAATTTGTATCTCCGAACTGTGAAACAGTACGTTCATGCACTCGAACATAGGGCTATATGACCCGCCGGCCAAAATATTTCCAGGTCAACCTACCAAAACATAGCCAAATGGCCAATCAGAGCACTCGTTTCGTGGGAGTTCGTTGGTCAAGCTGGGCTGTGGGGCTGACTCGTACGTAGCTACGGTAGCTATTGGACGTTCGAAAAGAAAAAATGAATATTCATCAACTAAAACCAAGACGGATAATGTTGACGAGACTTTCTCGGATTAATCATTAATTTGGGATCTAAATGAGCAAGCTATCGTAAGTCAAATAAGCTATATATATGTTATTTTTAATTTTTATTATAATTGCAGCAGTTATGAGGATGTAAAGAGTGAAAATCTTGTTGCATATCTCATTCATCGCGGTCCGGTCGAACCGAACCATTTGTTTTGTACAGTCCCGTACAGTCCCGATAGGCCATACTTCAGTCTCTATAATCGGAGGTCTAGTGGAGCCAGACGTAGTCTCAGTGGAACACCCAACTATTAGAGAGACTGAAGTTTTTGGTCTAGAGCTCACAATGTATGAGGAAAAGATATACCTGGTAGGCTAGCTCTATTGCCTATTGGCTTGCATGTACATAATGAAGGGAAATAAAATACACATTTTGAATACATGAATATCTTCTGCCAATAAAATAATAATAATAATCTTTTAAAGTCTACTCCAAATTTTATTAGGTTAAATCAAAAAATGGAAATTCTTTTTGCCCAATTGATCGTGAGCCCGGCAGCCACTGAGCAGCGCCAGATTGACGTTGCTCTATCCCTTTATTGTTGAATGCCAAACGAGGTAGCAGCAACTCCCGTCTTTTAACATCTTTTGGTATGACGCGGCCGGGGTTCGAACCCACGACCTACCGGTTGTGAGGCGGACGCTCTACTAACTGAGCCAACACACCGGTTTTCTTCTTTGAATTTTTTGTTTTTTCTGCTTGTAATCTTGTAATAATACTTTGCTCTTTTTATTTGATATGTTTTGCCCGTCATCTTCTAATAATACATGGTGTTTTTTGGTCCTTTCATTTTTTTCTTCTTTTCTGCTCGTATTCTTCTACCAAATTGTGCTTGCTCTTTTTTTTTCAGGGTCATCTCGATACACCATTGCCGTTTCAGATGTCCCCGGTAATTCTCTGTCTCCCCTCGTTGGCTCGACCCTTGCCATCACATTCACAACCACACAATGCTACCCACAATCCTTGCCGGTTATCAGCTTGACCTCTGACCTCCTTACCAGGAAAGCCACTGATAGCATGACGAGCGACCTTGTTGAATATGCTAATGAGCACCTGCGTGGTGAACCAATGACATTGGAGATAGTGGAATGGGTGAGGCTTCATTTCAAGGAGTATGCAAATGAGGACCAAACTCTGAACCAACCACACGTTGTATCTGATAGGCAAGGTGAGTTTGTGTATACATTTGTATATTTATTCATTTCTTTATTTATTTACTTACTAATTTATATAATTTAGTAATTTATTTACCTATTATGGTTTTGTCTATTTATACCATTACCTATCTATTTATTAACTTATTTAATTACTTTTACAAGGTTCCATTGCCAGTTACAATACTGCTTTCAACATTGGATCTGTTGGCCTATCTTTTGTAGATAATAATATGATTAAAGACAGCATTATCTATCAATAATGAAGACAATTTCAAAGACTTTCTTTGAAAATTTGTAATTCAGATGCTTTCATTCGATCTCTTTTTCGTTTTGGTCTTATTATGTACATTATTTCTGCGTTCATTTGGTGACACAGGGGGGCTTAAGGTTTCTCTACTGCGACTGGATCACATGCGAGCTAAGGCGCGCTACGTCAAGACAATAACAAGCTGGTGTGCAGAGCTGGGCATCATGGGAAGAATTTTCTTTGTTGAGAAGCTCATCTTGATCCTTCTTGAAGGTCATCAGGACAACGTCAAGGTCAGTTTTATAATACATGATATACTGATCATAACAATAAAAATATGATATGTAATATTATTGATGATAACCAAATCAATAAAAATATGATATGTAATGATAGTATTATTGATGGTAACCAAAACATTATATGTAGTGATGATATTATTGATAATTACTAAAACAATAAAAATATGATATGTTATGTAATACTATTGTTAATGATAATGATGATGATAAAAACAACAAGAACAATAATATATATAAATAACATGTACTGTATAAGGTTTGTTAGTTACTAGCAGTGGGGAGGGGGATTGGGTTCTCACTTGAAGTTATGTCATTGCCCTCAAGATTTACACGCCAGCTTGAACAGATTAGTTAAATGACTGCTGGCATGGCCGCTTGAATATCGGCCCTGCGAACCCTTCCTATTGTTCATGGATCATTGATGATAACTCTGAGGTTTCGAAGTTTATTAAAAATTGATGACCGTCCCGTCACTCCTGGGGGGTGTTTCACAAAGATCCTAAGTCATACTTAACTCTAAATTAGACTTAAACCTTATGGAGAGCCATTTATAGCCTCAAAATAAAATATATTCAAAAGCAAAAATTCTAGTATTTTAGACTTTAATAAATTCTACATCAAGAACATGAAATCTCCTTGAACATAGGAAATATGATTGATTTGAATCAACTTTTAATGCCTTTTAAAATAACTTTTACAAATATTTTCAAAGATGCTAACGGCTTTCCATAATTGTTTAGTCCAACCTAGAGTTAAGTTCGAATTAAGATCTTTGTGAAACATGGCTAATACTACTAGGTAATGTATGGAGAAGACCAATGGTTGAGAGCATCACCCAACAGTTGAATTTCAGAATTTGGCAGAATTTCAAGAATATTTCTGTATAGGAGAAGGGCTGTCAGTAAAAGTTAACAATAACAAAAAACAGTTTCTAATTTTGCAGTTCTCACTTCATTATGATTCATTTTCCATTTTTTTCAAAGTGCTTCTTACTCTATCTCTGTTTTTTCTGTTTTTGCTTTTTTGTAGGACTTTATTCTTCGACTGAAAACTCAGAAGGTAGATGTGGATTCTAATGGCAAGGGTTGCAAGGAGAAAATGATGAGCGTTTTAAGTGAAAGGCATGCCGATGAAGAAAAAAGCAGGTTTGTGTAGATTTTAATTTCAATTTTAATTTGTTTCAACCAGTTGTACCCCAGTGAGACAGCCAAACCGTCTCCAAGTTGATTCCAAACTGACCGAATATTGGCTATTCAGGGTGGTGGATTGTTTAGTCTGTTGTTGCTCATATGTTGTATTATATTCCACATACTAAGAATCTTGCTCTACGATTGGTCAAAAGTAAATCATGTGATGAAAGATAGTTCTCCAATCATTGATGGGAGAAGGAAAGTTTGTTACACTGTGTGGATAGTACTACTATCTTCAGTGAAAGTGTGTTGCACTTGGTAGATAGTAGTAGTATCTTCACAGTGCAACACACTTTAATTATATATGTTGCGTATTGCTCTCCTCTTTGAGCTCTTAGTACGAGAACTTTGGTCAAGCGCTAACTATGGTCACACCACCATACTGCATGCACTGAATGTATCGTGCACCGTTTGCTAACTGTTAATTGATGACTTGTTGCTCTGCAATGACGAACGAAGTGAAATATTTCCGATGTGGAATATAAAGCAAATAATCACCATTTGGTTTCAGGGGATGGCAAACTATCACCTTCTGGGCGATCTAAATGTATACACATTTTTTTCCCTCAGCTTTGCTTCTGAAAGATAGCTACATCTAGATAGTCTCGGAAGTGATAGTTTGTCCCATCACCTTTACCAACGGTAATTATTTGATCACTAAAACCCCGTCTTAATCAGAAAATATAGTCGCGGTGTTGTAAGGACGCTGTCCGGATGACATTCTACCCCGTTCCTGTTAAGACGCATCAATCGAGGTAACGTCCGGACAATATCGAAATGAGTTTTACCCTATTCGGGCCAGGGTGAGATTGCGGTGACGTTCTGACGTTTTCCAGATGAAATCCTGATAAACGGCCTATTAAGACGCGCGCGGAAATCTACCCGGGTAGAATGACGTCAGGGCCGTGAAAAAATGTATATGAACACAGCATTCTACCCCGTTCTTGTTAAGACGCGTCAATCGGGGTATCGTCCGGACAATATCGAGGTGACATCGAGGTGAGTTTTACCCTATTCGGGCCAGGGTGAGATCGCGGTGACGTTCTGATGTTTTCCAGATGAAATCTGAGAAACGGCCTATTAAGACGCGCGCGGAAATCTACCCGGGTAGAATGACGTCAGGGCCATGAAAAAATGTATACATGAACACAGCGCGCACCAGCTGATCGCGATGAGGGAGGGGCGGTTATGGTTACCTACCCAGGTGAGGTTTTTTCCAGATGGCTGGTTGAGATGGTGTCCATGAGCCTGGCTAAAGCTCACCCCGTGTTTTACGATCAGAACCCCAACTGTTTCTCATCCACATGTCGCTCGGGTGAGATCGAAAAAGTTCTATTAAGACGGGGCTTTAGTTGTAAAAATGTGTTATTAAGTAGCAATGTTGTTTTCTTTGCTTTATTTATTTGATGAAGGTAATAGTTTGAGCATTACATTAATGTTGTTATTTGTTCTGTTTTGAAGAACTACCGGTTATTGTTTATTCATTCTCTAAAATAAATGTTGGATGATTTATTGTGCAGTAAGTAACAATCACAATGTTAACAAACTTTAGCTTTACTAAGGTTAACTAAGAAATGCTAATACATACATGTACACATATATACCTATGGGGAACTTATATTTTTTACAATTATTATTGTTGTAACCAATTTGTTTACATTTATTGGGATATTACTCAAATACTCTATGCTTTTCATTTTCTATTAATCTTCACAAAGTCTATTGGCTATTCAGAACCCTTTTTTAATTCTTTTAGAATTTTAATTACCAGTTAAGCCTTTATAACCCCAAAATCAACATTTTGTGTCCTCTGTGTAAGTGGTAGAAGGGAATTAACTAAAGGCTCCAGAAAGACAGTATGAACTATTCAGTTAGAGTGACTGCTCATCTGTATCCAAGAGATGTTTTTTGTTGTAACTACGTGCACATTTCCATGTCCACAGTTTTTCATCCTTTGAAGTTGCTGAGCTAGAGAGCATCCAATCATTGAAAAAGACTTTTGATGCTGTGAATCTAAGAGAGCTTTTTGAAGAACATATACAACCACTGTGTAGACATCCAATGCAAGGTTCCATCAGATGACAAGGTCATTCACAAGGACGCATGGAGTAGATGCACCACCAAAGGTTCAATGTGGTGACGAGGTTATTCCCAAGGATACTGTCCATTTCCCAGTGCTGTGACCCACTCTCATTTCCGGCAGATGACGGAGTCATTCACAAGGACGCATGTTTAGCTACTGAGTAGATACACCGCCAAAGATCCAAGCAGTGTTGAGGTCATTCATAAGGTCACCATCAATTTCCAGGTGATGTGTCCCACTCTGATTTCCGGCAGATGACAGGGTCATTCGCAAGGACTCATGTTTAGCTATGGAGTAGATGCACCACCTAAGGCTCCAAGCGGTGACAAGGTCATTCCCAAGGACACTGTCCATTTCCAGGTGCTGTGTCCATCTCTTTATTTCTGGCAGATGACAAGGTCATTCACAAGGATGCATGTTTAGCTACTGAGTAGATGCACCACCAAACGTTCCAAGCAGTGATGAGGTCATTCATAAGGTCATTCATAAGGTCACCATCAATTTCCAGGTGATGTGTCCCACTCTGATTTCCGGCAGATGACAGGGTCATTCGCAAGGACGCATGTTTAGCTATGGAGTAGATGCACCACTAAAGGCTCCAAGCGGTGACAAGGTCATTCCCAAGGACACTGTCCATTTCCAGGTGCTGTGTCCATCTCTGATTTCCGGCAGATGACAAGGTCATTCACAAGGATGCATGTTTAGCTACTGAGTAGATGCACCACCAAACGTTCCAAGCAGTGATGAGGTAATTCACAAGGTCACCATCCATTTCCAGGTGCTGTGTCCCACTCTGATTTCCAGCAGATGACAAGGTCATTCACAAGAATGCATGTTTAGCTACTAAGTAGATGAACCACCAGATATGGTACCCTGTCTTTAAAGGAGGTTTTGAGTACTTGTCATCGTATTGCTTTGTGAATGTTACTATCTTATTGAACATATTGTAAATGGTAAACTATGTACTTCATGAAAAGAACTGTTTATTACAAGGGTTTGTAGTCATGGAATCGAATAGAGGTGACTCCATTTGAAAGTCGCAAACTTCATCAAAAGTTGACTGAGGTTAATAAACAATTTCTTGTCTTTTTAGTTTGTGACAGTATTTCAAAAGCAGTACTTTCCATCCATTCCTAGCTAGCAGCCCTTCCATATCAAATTTAAACAGGGAATGCTGCAATTTTTAATTACCATGTTTGCTCAAATTTCTCTGTATCAACTTTTTGTTAATCTTTCATCTCAGTTGAGGTGTTGCGCGGTACATTCATTCATTCACTTGACTCTCAATCAAAGGGTTGAGGTTTGAATCTTACCCAGCACCAACGTCCTTTGGAAAGACATTAATCCATGTTTGCCACTCTCCACCCAGGTGTAAATGGGAACCTGGTAATGGCTCAGTAAGGAAAATTATATGGACTCAAGGAAGCACAACATTAAAGGTGATGATGCTTCTCTGGGTAAACAATAATATTATTATTGTTAAGATTAATTTATTTCTGAATATTTATTAAAATATAAAGAAAAACATTTCAAAGACTTCAACACCAGCTTTTTTTGTGTGTGTGTGTGTGTGTGTCACAGTTGAATTTTAACATTTGTATCATACAAAAATCGACAACTTTGAGGGGCATACTTTAACTATTAGCTAGGGTGATCTCAAAACTGTTCTGTGCCCCAAGAATAACTTTAGGGTTTAGTGCGCTCTCAATATAGAGGAGCCATAGTTCTAACCATGACCCGAGAAATAAGCAGTCAATATTTGTTTTATATACCGCATCCCAAGTGTCAATTCTTGAAAAGAGATATTTCCACAAAATATGCCATCAAAGTGAATTGACTAAATTAGAGTCATAGGTAATTTACACGCCACACCGCACATATCCGTTGAACTTCACATACTATTGGCAAGTAGAACCATGCCCGGTCGATACATGTATTATATGTTGTATACCTCACTTTAGAAATCCAGCCATCTGATCGGTCGAAATTAGAGTCGTGATTTTGGCCATTCCCGTAAAATGCCAAAACCGGTCAATAGTCTTTTGAAAAAAGCCATAGGGCATTTTCAAAAAACTATTGACCAGTTTTAGAATTTTACGTATATGCGTGCAATCTCAACGGTAAGGATTTTAGCACACAAACTAAGAGGACAATTTTTTTTTGGGGTGTCAAAATTTGACATTTTGCTCCGTTGGGGGGAAGGGGGGGGGGTGGTAAGGTCACCTTTTTTAGGTCAGCCATTGGCATAATTTTTATTTTATTATTTATAAAAAAAAAAAAAAAAAAAAAGTGGGTGGGTGGATGGTTTTTTTTTGTGCTAAAAAATACACTCATTATAAAAAATGAAGGGGGGGGGGGTTAACGCCCAACCCCCATCCCCCCTCCCCCCGCGTACGCGTCTGACTGTGGGCCTATGTTTTTTGTTGTAGGAATATGAGAAGGAGAGCGGTGGCACATTTTCCTTTTAAGTAGAAATTCTTTCTCAAAACGTAAATAGATGTGTAGAGAGGATAGAAAAAGACAGCAGGAAAAGAAGGTAAGAAAAGAGAGAGGGGCGGGCTGAGGAGAGATAGAGAAAGAGAGAGGGGAGGGAGCGGGGCTTGGGAGAGAGAAAGAAAGAGAGGGTTCAGAAAGAGACCGAATGGGAGCGGGAGGAAGAAATAACAAGGAGAGTAAGAAGGAAAATGGAGACAGTAAGAGATACAGTAAACGAAAAGCAAATGGAAGACGAGAAAGAGGGAACGTGACAGGAAAGACCGAAAACATTGCCATGGTAGTAAATCGTTTTGCGAACTGAGTTTTTGAACGTCAATGAGAGTATACCAAGGCTCATTAACATGTCTAACACTAACAGTTTTCCGAGGGAAGGGGGGGGGGGGGGGGGGACGGACAGTGGCGGATCCCCCCCCCCCCCCCCCCCCCAATGAGCGAATTATAAGCCGGCGCGATTTTCAAATTTTCGGGGGCAAACAAATAAAAAAAAAATAGTGCTCACTACCCCCACCATCCCCCGATGAGCGAATAATCGGCCGGCTATTTCGCCGCAAAATATTTTCTCACTAATTGTGCCCCCTCCCCTGCCGCCGGCTGGATCCCCTGGGGGGGGGGGGGGGTATTGTCCCGCTGGTGAATTGCTGGCGGTGATTGCCAAGGGTGTATTTGTCCTAGCACCGTTAAGTTCATCACTTTCGTCGCCATGTTTATCAAAGAAAAACATCGATATCTCGTAATCATAATTATCATCATAATCACATGTCATGACATTCATCATTATCGGTATCATTACTATAATCTTCATTATCACCACAATAATCATCATTATCAACATCACCATCATGTTGGGGAGGGGGGGGGGGGTGCTTCCTATTTATTTGTTCAGTTATTCAGTATATAGTCCGTATGTTTTGTTAGGAAATGCATTCAATTGAAATCAAATGAAAATCCAGATTTGTTTTCTTCTAAAGCCACAATTGCCGGAATCATTGGTGATGACAAGCAACCTCATCATATTAACATAATTATGTACAAGTTATTTCTAATTGTACATACATCTATGAAATAGTTTATAAATAGGTATTGTCGTGGTCTCATTGATAAGGCACCGCACTGTGGATCATATGGTTCGTGGTTCTAGATATTCAAGATATTAATCTGCATTTGCCACATTACACCCGGGTGATGTAAATGGGTACCTGGCAGGAATTAATTCCTTGAAGTGCTGGAGCGCAATAATGGCTGCCAAGCTAAAGTCGGCGTAATAACTGTGGAGCGCCAGGAGTGTCCAATCTGACAGACATGAGCGCTATAGAAGATCTTATATTTTACATTATTAGTATTATTATCGTTATTATTATTATGATTATTCTAAAATGATGAAAAGAGAAACATATGTTTTGACAAATCTATATTTATTAATTATTTTGAAGAACAATAAATAGGTAAAACATTATACACATCATTTCGTTTGGCATACATGTACACAAACATGCACGTCTTAAAATTCACATACAAATTGCAGGAAATAACAATCCTCGCCATACATGTCTTTCATATGAAAAATAAGGATTTATAGATAATAAATAAATAGTATTTATTTAACAAAATGACATATGTTAACAATAACAATCAATATCTGAGATGCAATACATTGCATCAATAAATACAACGGCAGTGAATAAGATACATTTTCGATGGAAATGCGGATTTGAATATTATAGATACAATCGTAATTGATATCTCATCCATATACATGTTATATAAATAATACAACATGACGTAATGACACATAAATAATTCTCTACCATAAATGTAAGAAATGTGAAATTATATATGATAATACTAAGCATGAAACATGCTAGATTTTTTTTATGGAAGGGTTTGGGCAAAACGTCTTTAAAGTCTTTGACAAGAGAGGCGGGAAAATGAAACAAAATATTGGACAAGTATAACCAAATATATATATATATATATATATACAAATATAACAAATATCTCTTATAACCATGTTTGCCAAATCTAAGCTACAATACCCCTCCCCCTTTAAAGAAATCCTTGTAATATTTTGTTTCAGTTGAAATTGCCGACTGTATGCTAGTTAGATTTGATATTAAGTTAATTTGTCTGTTGGATCTTCATAAACACGCAAGCTTTAAATACTTTCTAGTTCAACCTTCCAATTGCAAAGACAAGTATATATACTTCAATTCTTTCTTATGGATTCTTGCTCAGCATATTTCCCCTACAGCTGTAGTTTCCTTCCGAAATATTTATTTGTGTTTAATCAGATCGAACAATTCCAAATGAAGGAAATCTTGTTTTGATTGTACTGTGGGTTTCGGGGTTGGGTAGTTTCCGGGTTAGTGACACGGTGTATTGCTTCCGGTTGGGGCTTAACGATTGCTTCCTTCCTCCGGATAGTTGGACAATTTTTCATGTTAAATTCTGTTTTTATTTTGTTTTGTTTTCATTTGGTTGTCACGACAGATTATTCAGAAATAAGAATCGTTCCGTTACCCCCAAACCCCGAACCACCACAAACGATTAGTTTTTTTGCTTCAGTATTGCACTCATCAAATAAGTTAAATCTACATCAGGCTTATGCGAATAATATTAAGAGGAGGAGGAGGGGGAGGGGGCTGATGCCTCTTATCTGAATATGAATCATACTGTTGTTATTTACCTAGTGAATAAAGCGAAACAAATATAGATAATGAACTCAGTATGTTTATATTTCCCAGAAGTGTTTACGACCTAACGCACTTGCATCAATATGTCTGTCTAGACAATTTCTATCTTTCAATTCATTGAAAAGAAGTTTTTTTAAAAATACTATGATTGATGGGTTAGAAATGAGTGTTGAACACTCGAGAAGGCTAATATATCGTGCAATAAAGAATGATATTGACTTCAGGTAGCAAGTGTTTATTTTGACAGCTGGCCATCAATTCATGTAAGGAAGTATCGAAAGGTCAGATATGCTGTTTTTGTGCTGCTCAGATGATGTTATGTATTACCATGGACCATGTTATTACTAATCTACTGAGTATTCAGAAAAAAAGGATAAACTGTTTTAACGCATGTGCCATGTAATAAAATAAATAAATGTCCACTGCGTGTGAAGCACAAGAGTACGAAAATTAGAGTGCAAGCCAAGCTCTATAAGGTCTATAAGGAAGCCGAAAAATGAGAGACAAATACAGAATGTCGAAAGTTTGAGAGAAATCTAAGAAAAACAAAGGCATCCCGATTCATTAATTTTGGAAAATACTTTTTATCGTTTTGTGTGTGGAAGCTTATAGGAAAATTGTCCAACGCCACATCGCTGCGGCATGACCGACTCGGCTTATTTACAGTGTCCATACCTAGAGTGATTACAACTTTCAAACTTTGATTTCTTATTATTTTTTCCGGTTTCCTTCAAAACGTTAACCAGATTGCTTTTCTGATTTTCTGCTTTCTTTTAGAGCAGTTGTCTATTAACGTTGGATTTTCCTTAGATGCTATGAACAAATGGATTCGGCTATTTTGCTAACACTGACGCTGGTAAAAACAAAAGATTGAAGCCAAACCATTGACTCTTTGATGTTGTTTAGGACGGAACAGTCCCTTCCATTTTGATCGGATCCTTGTTCGTATGTGACCGTCACCATGGCTCCAGAGGCAGGAAGATTACACTGTAACCAAGGAAACCATTGAAATGTTATTAAAAATAAAGAGTCAGAACTAGCACATGTGCTAGTCGAGCCTGACTCTCGTTTTCTAAAGCCTAACATAAGTAAAATAAGGATGGGTTTCCAATCCCTATAAATAAGATTTGTGTATAATATTACAATCCAAACAATCAGACTTGTTGCTTTAATTACAAAGTTATAATTTGCGGTTTTACGAAAGGAAGTTTTTGATTTCTCCATTCTTAGATCAGGAAACGTAATATTCCATATGTTAATCCCAACATACGAAACAGAAAACTTTCCTTGTCTGTTTTGAATAAGGGGAGATGAAATTTTCGACCCGACTTTTGTTTCGTGGAATATTTATGTTGTATCATACTGCAATAATGTTTTAAGGAATGAGGTAATCGTTCATTTATGAAATCAAACACAAAAGTACAAATATATAATGTATGCAATTTGAAAACATTCAGCAATTAGGGGTCATGAAACAGTGCAATAGTATTGGTACGATGTGGCTTGAAAGTTGTAGCACGTGTAGCCATCTTTTGAGTATAAAATAAACAATTCAAGTGTGATTCATATAATATCAAGTTCTCCCCCAAACCTCGATGCCATGTGTAATATGTGGCTGTATTAGACCTTTATACAACAGTATCAATATATATTTAGGTACAAAGTGCCGTAATTTAAAGAGGATATACCGACCTTTCTCGGTATACAGTAATTAACAGATTTGAAATGTGATTTCCATGCTAAATGTCTGTCACTGGTAATGCCTACAAAATAATGTAGCTTCCTGTACTTTTTTTTTCGATTGTTCAATTGTAACTCACCTCGCACGAGCTCAGTGTTGTATGAACTTTGCGTGACATCTGACTAAATCTGCTTTCTAGTGTAGTGTAGTTTTGCCCTCTGACTTCTTCCAAATTAGAACTGCTTTTAACAAGGCGCAGGACGGATTCGTAGTACTGTATATGAACTAAAGTTTTATTCAACTTATCAAGGGAGCTCACCTATGAAGAGGATCACAGAAAATAAGACAAATAGAAACAAAAGTTAATCACCAAAGACCATTCGATGGGTTTAAGGCGCTTGATTTGAAGATGCGAAGGTCGAGGGTTCGAATCACGATACTGCACTAATATCCTTTGGCAAGATATTGACCTGCAATTGCTACTCTCCACCCAGGTGTTAAATGGGTACCCGGTAGGATGCGACCGTCATTGTTGGTCAAACCGTTTTTGAGCGTCATGTAACGCCTGGCTGGAATGCTCCCCAGTGAGTGGAGATTTTGCATACATTGTGTGCGGGCAGGCACTGAATCCAATGACCGGGGTAATAGTATACTTTTTAAAACGCTTAGAGACATTTGTATTAAGCGCTATATAAAAATTAAATATTATTATAATACTTTTCTATTCCTATTAAGGCTGAAGATTAAGTTCTTAGTAGGTCCATGGTACGGGTAAGCTTTCTCCGAATTGCAAGAAGGTATATCAAAACCAAGTAACAAAACGAAAAATGACACCCTTCCCCCAAAATAGAACACTCCAAATATCCTACTAACCTCTGGCGAAACGAGTAGGAGTTCTTATTACAAATAAATGCAAAATGTTTTTTTTTTAATTCAGCCGGTCTTATTTTCATATCTGACTTCCGTGAAAAGAAAAATAAGCAAGTTTGCATGAAAAGTGAAGTTTTCTAAAAAAAAAATGCGTTTCTCTCCAGCTTAGAGGTGCCAGAGAGCCACTTGGGTAACCTTTAACAAAAGTATAATATAACAAATAATATCGCACTCTTTCTGTACTTTTTGTCGGAAAAAATAGTAATCCAGCACACTGTCGTCTCTTTTTGCGTTGGAAAAGAGCAAAATAGCGAGTTTTAATTGCACTTCGGCCGGTCTCGCAAGCCCTCCCTCAATCAATATACCAGTTTGTAATTTGGTACAAAATTGTAAAACCCACTGAGACTTATACTGGATACATGCTAATGAAATGTATGTAATCATTATTCATGCATGCACCTGTGATGCATTTTATTGAACACAGGTGGAAGTAATCCTTTCAAGAGGGCAACAAAAGAATCACCTCCATGACTTTAGCTATGGTTATTTCAAAAGGCACAAAGTGGGATTTATCTATGTTTAAAAGATTTGTGGATATTTGGGGTCATCTGACTCATGTGCTAACTACGAACAAGTCTATTGTGGTCAGACGGCTTCGGGATGAGCGGCCAATGAAAATACTAATCGTTAGCTTTCTTCTGGTATTAAGCTTGGTTTGATTGGTTGTTTATTGTAAACAGTTTTACCCATTCACATAATGGAACTACCTGCCTGATGAAGACAGTTCCTCGTGGGCACTCAACACTGTGTGGGAGTTAGTTTGTGGTAAACTTCTTTTAAGGTACAAATCCAAGCAAACGTTTCCATATGTTTCTTATTTACAATGAAAACGCTTGCGCCCTTTGATTTGATCAGCGAACTTCTAATAAAAATAGAATATGAAGAAGTGTAATTGAACTACTTCTTTGTTTGTTTGTTTGTTTCGATGTTGGGGGTTTAAAATCAATTTCAGATTTGGTAATTAACTTTTAATATTTAAACAAATACACTTACCGAGTCACTTGCACTAATGGCTGGCAGTACGGATGGTGTTGGGGAAATACCATAGTCTGAAATAAGACTACTACCTACAGAACAAGTCCAGTTACTCTGTGTAGAAAAAAAAAAAAATGATCTCAAGACTCAAGATTAAAATTAATTGTCGGTATATAATCAAGAAATGTTGCTTTCCATCGGTGTTATACAAACAATGTAAACACAGGTAAAAACATAATATTTTTTACTTTTTTTTAATAGTTTATCTTGTTACCTATTCGGCGGTACCTGTGCTAGGTAGGGCTATCAAAAGCGAACTAAATCATTGTGACCCTCGGGTCTCTCCTCCCGGAATAACTGATTGGTGTTGTGCATGTGGACCACTAACCCGGGGTTTCCCCGTACTCGAATACCGATTAGTACAGTAGTTTCTAGAACGTGCAAAGATGGTGACATTTCTCAATCTATTAAAACGGGGCCTCCGTTTAACGTTCTATCCGAGGGACGAATTCTTTTACCCTGTAACATAGCCTGCCTCTATGAAGCAGGGAAAAATGGACGTTAATACACGACGCATTCGACAGGCCTCACCACGCTCGCTATAATAAACACATATAGGCTTTCTATTTGAGGCAAACATTTTGTAATTATATTGCGCCCCTTTTATTTTTTTCAACAGTAATAATAATATTAACAATAATAATAAGAAGAAGAGGTAGAAGAAGAAGAATTACCAAAAGAATATTAGTCAAGCCGATGATATGTTGGACATCACGACGTAACTCGTAGGCCACTGGAGGGGGGCAAGTCTGTGACGACGCACTAAGTAGTTTTCGTGTTGGAAGACATGATACTTTGATTCCCATGGCAACTATGATCATTACTAGCAAATTAAGGGTGCCTAACACAAAAGGGAAAAATGAAATGGTATCATGAAATGTATTAACGAGGGATGGAAACATCTTCAAGAAAGAGGCATAGATAGAAACCCCTATTTCAGTTTTTACAAAAAGTATTTATTGCTCTCAATTTGATTATCCTCGGTAACAATGCATATTTAACATGATTACAAAGGATTTCGAAAAATCAACCTCAAATCCCCAACCGACGTTGAGTATGAACAACAGGTGGAATTGACTGTAATGAATGAATACCACGCTTATGAAATTCAAAATGTATAATAAAACTTACTAAATGATAAAGCACTTAGATATGTCGGAACATATTCATGACATGGGATATGCAAAAGGATATTGATGTTGTCCTTGATTTACTTCTAGACAGTTTTTTAATAATAATTTTAAGTCTATTGCTTCAAATCAAAGTACATACTAGAGCAGTTGGTGAAGAACATGTACATCAATATAATAAAAACATTGTAATGAGTGGTACGTTATAAAATGTAGCGTACAGAAAATTGCGAAGATAACAGTGATAACCATATTATCAAATTTCAAATTCAAATTTCAGCATCTTTCATTGTCTTGTTGCATTATCCCGTTCCACTTGTTTCTAATTAAATAGTTTCCACCTTTATTTGTATGAACTTAGGTAATTTTCTATGCATTTATTTCGAAAAGGAAAGTGTTTACTATACATCACAAAAGTGTTAATTATTTTGTCACTAGTCTCGACTCCAAAAGAAAATGTCTGTGGGTGAAAATGGAAAACTAGATATTTTAATTTTACGGAGCCAGTCTCTGATATCTTTCCTGGATTTGTTTTGCAACAGGAAACGTATAGAACAAATAAATTAACGTTTGCATATTTGTTTGACAAAAATTGCATATTAGTGTACTTTTTATACCAATACGGTGCACATTTTTATTCGCAGAAATCCTTCGATGCAGGAATTTGAGCTAAAATGTTCCTAATCTTGACTATAAAATTGTAAGGGGTGGCTTTGTGCAACTATGCCACTGTAATGTTATTTCAAGCGGTTTAGGAATTTGTGCTCTAAGTCAAATCCAGCTTCCATTTTTTGAACTGTTTTGTGATATTTGTTTTTGAACATAATTCCTTCACAAACAGAGAATAGCTAATTTTATCACTTGTTTGTACTATAAAACTATGAATTTTCTTAACTAAAACCACCCCTGTTTCTTCAGATGTGTTCTCTCTCATAAATTGTTTCCAACTTGCAGGAATAGCGGATATAATAGCACATTAATAAAACAAAAATGTATCGATCTCACGCCTACAACAGAACTCAGTGAGAGATATGAAGCTACCATTTTCAATCAGAAGATCTTCTAATTAAAGTACCCCAGCTTCAACTTATGTTTTTATGACAGATAATCTGTTTATAAATTTGTATAAATGTATCATACCATACCACGATGGTTGAAATGAAATTTCTTTCAAGATAACTAGGTTATAGTACTTATAGTACTATCAGGCTGAGAGAACATGTTTCCAACAAAATATTTGATAAGCGATCTCTGATATCTTTCTATTTGAACTTTCCATTGAAAATCCTCTTTTCACCATACTTCTTTAAGAAGACATCAACAAGTATTTTTTAATCCACCTTCTTCATACGTATTATACATAGCACTTCTTTTAATGTTGTCTCTTTTGCCAGACCAGATGAAATAAAAAAAACGGTTGTTGAAGTCGAGCAGAAAAAAGAAACCAGTGGATCTTCTATGATACTAAATAAATACACACATTTTGGAACAACCGAAGACTTAATTACGGCAATTTTTATTAAACACCATCAAATAACGGGAGTTCCACATCCTTAATAAAAATTCAGTTTCTTTCAACCTTTCCAGTTACATTTTAAATCTTTACATGATATTCCTTCTAATGACTCAAACTATGTTACTTTTTTCAACATTTACTCTAAGACCAGGGATTTGTGTGAAAGAAGACAAAATAGCGAATACTCTTCTTAAGTTTAACTCTTCAGCACGTAAGTAGATTACAGTTTCATCAGCATACTGACTGACTCGTATTTCTACATCATTTACCGGGATGCCATTTAATAAGTCTATCTTGCCGAATTATTTATCCAAGAACTTCAGCTTCAATAAGGATTGGGTAAGGCGATAGAGGGCGGTGTCTGACACCTCTGTGTAAATAAAAAGCTTAATATGAATACTCATTATTTACCACACAACTGTTAATATTTTTGTATAGCAGTGAAACCCATGATTTTTTTTTTTAAATCCAAATTTCTGCATGCTCAGAAACAAGAAATTCCATTTAATGGCATCGCCTTTTCGAAGTCAATAGATAAAGCTAGGACTTTTAAACAATTTTGCATTCAATGATGTATCACATCGCTGTATGTATGTATGTAATGACCATTATATCGACTTAAAAAAGAAGTTTGGTCTCCATCTATAATTAATGGAAGAACCCAGTTTAGTCTATTGGTTAGTCCGTATTTAGGAGTGATATGGGTCGCCATTTTTTTCAACTCGAGGTATTTTTATCTTTCGGGGGAACAGAGTAACCATGATTCCTTTACTCATTGATGAGCAGATTTTGCTTGGTGATAACACGAGTTGAACATTCTACAGATAATATTTTATATCAACCGAAAATTCTTTATATAAATTTAGCAGGTAGCCCATCTGTGCCATGTGTTATTATCTGATGTTAAATCTCCGACTGCTTTATAGCATTCGTCTACAGTTATGAAACCTTCGCAAAGAAAAATTGTTTAGCGGCGATAATTCAAGCACAATTATTATTGCTTTTAAACATTTTCTGAAGATTTTTTTTTTACTGATGCAAAATTAAAGATGATATGACTATGAATGTGTCAGCTTTTTTAAACTTCTGAATATGTATCTCTCGTAAATTTATTTTTCTGAATAAAAAAAATACCTAGTGTCCTTTTCTCCTTCAGCAATCCAGTGGCACGATTTCTAATCATAATTCCTCGAACAAAATCTTCTTGCATTTGGCATAGTTCTCTTTGATGACGTAACATCAAATCATTTAAAAAGTTATCATTTGGATCTATATCCAAAGCATAACGTAGCTTCCTAATGTTTTTGACCAAGTAATGTATTCTATTATCTATTCATTTTTTAGCATAGAGGAAATAAAAATGCATTTCTGAATTATTCTGTATTCATCAAACTCCCTTAAAGTACATGTATTCATAGTTCAATAACTTTAACACAAATTAAATTCCTTATTTCTTCTTTTTTACTTTATAAAAAGGTAAAGATGTATCTAGCTTCCAGAAACCAGGCCCTCTCTTGTAAACCATATTTTCCACTACCAAACTTACAGCAGAGTGGTCACTCCGATCACCTAAGTTTATTTTACAATGTTCAACATTCTTTCTCAAATTATTTGATATAAGAAAATAGCAAATTATCTTTCTGGCTACCGTTGACCGCCATGTAAACTGTAACTTTGATGAGTTTTGTACACGCCAAATGTCAATTAAATCAAAGTCATTTTTGAACAAATCAATTTCAGATAAACATTTTGGATGCTATTGCACATGATTGGGGTATCTGTCAACCTTTATATCTTGTACTGTATTCATGTCGCCCCCATAATATTAGGCTCTTTCTCATATTCTATTACAACATTATGAAATTTCTAAATACATCTTCACTATCTGATCTGTGTTTGGACCATAGACATTTACAACTGTAAACTTCTTTTTTCCATAGGTAAGGACAAGCAACAAAATATAATATAATAGTATACACCTGTAAATTTGAATTCGGCTTGATCAATATACACACTCCGGTACTGTCGGATTTCCCGTAAATAAATATGACATGATATTCCTTTTCCGCTGAACATATCCTTTCAGGGTCTTTACAACTATGTGTTTCTTGAAGCAAATAAACATCACACGGTTGTCTTCTTAGAAAATCACTAAAACCAATTTCCTCTTTTCTCTGACTCTATCCCCTAAGTCCCTTGGGTTTAGTTAATATAATTTTATCTGGAAAGATTCACCCATTATTATACTTTCCTTTAATGAAATTTTCACAAATACATATTTTGTATATACCGGAAATCTTGAAGCGAAATAGTTAGACAGCTCACACACTGATGATGGCAATATGCAAATATATAAGATTTTTCAAAATTAACTTACAGTTTGCTTGTTGCATGTTCCAATCTTTATATTCCGAGCCTCAAACAGACAATTATACTAGATATTTTTCTGTCGATCTCTCCTCAAACAATTCAATATTCAAATATGATCAACTTTACAGCTAAACAGCTTAATTTATACGTATTGTTAAGAGAGAGAGCAATATGAAAAGGGCAAACGAATACAACAATTCCCATTTAGGATTAGTCACAATTTTCAAAGAAGGATACAAGAAATATATAATGACTGACTTTTGACATTTAACTTGTGGTGTTTTAACCTGTTAGGCCGAATTATCTAAACAGTTAGTCATACTTATGATGATCAGTAGAATATGTGATGTAATATGCCATTTAAGGGATGTGGCAGAGACAATAGGCCTTTTTCGTAATGTAGCCATATTTTGTGAAGAAAGCAACTGTACGAACATGAATTGCAATTGCTCGACATTTATTTCCGCTTCAAGGCGTTAACATTTAAAATAGGCAATATCTGCCTGTAATACCAATACACATACATGATGCAAATTGCTATGTACGAACATGAAAACTCAGGAACATAATTCTGCGAAACTCAAAACCAAAATACATGTAATATAATCCTATCTGCAATATCAAACTGTGAGAATTAATTTTTCAGAATAATCCTGAGGATCTCTGGTCACGTGATCACCAGAAAGGATAGTAGCTCCTCCCGGTAGCCCCCCAATTCATGGGACTCTGAACGTGATCCACCAGCAGGATAGTAACTCCCGCTGATATCCCCCTCTTCTTGGGGTTCCTGTCCCCCTCATCACTCCTAAACGCGGACGCGTATCCCGGCCTGCTTGGCCAAAGATATTGGCAGTCCCGCGTGTTCAAATTAAATTATATAAAATTCAAACCTCTATACCGTAACTGACTTAAACTACCATCCTTCTCTGAATGAATATGTATTCTCTAACCTTGAAAACATCTACAAAAACATACATATAACGATAATTACATGTATACTCGTGATCGATCTCTCCAATCACCCCAACCTCCCAACCATAAAACAACACGTCACAATGACCTGTAACTTGACACACAGGATTAAAATCTCCGTGCGGCCCAGCCTCCCAACCGTAAGACATGTGATAATGGCCTGTAATTAAACACAGGATTAAGTTCTCCATGCAGCCCAACCTCCCATCCGTAAATCATGTGAAAATGACCTGTAGATAAATACAGGATTTAACTGTCCATGCAGCCCAACCTCCCATCCGTAAATCATGTGA